CAGTCAATATGCATGGAATGGGCATGACATCTATGTAGTCAAAATCCTTTATATAATTTTAGCCAGAAGAATCAATACACTATCATCATTGTACACACTACATTTCCAACCAATTCCACTAAAAAATATTATATATTACACCCAGATTTGACACAGACCACATAATGGTGGTAACAATATAAAGGGTAGAAGCATCCAGTTTGGGTTGTTTGATCCTTTAGGAATGATGGGGTAAATGATTTGTGCCCTCAAAATGAGGCTGAATCATAAAAACTACTAAACCAAATCCAATGAGAGTTACTAAGAAGAAACATAACTAAAGTAGCAAAGAAAATGATTACAATACACACAGAATTGTTTGAAAGTGGGCAGAGTAAGTACAAGCTCCAATCCATATGTAGACTTCCTGGTACCAAAAGCGAATATTGACACAATGTTGTAGACACTGTATATCTGGATTTCAAAAATATCTTGACCAAGACTGTCACTATCAAAACTCAGCAAACATAAGATAAGAGAACAGGTCCTCTTTTGAACAGGAAACTAGTTAAAGATAGCAAATACTGTACAAATAAATGAATAATTTACATAATGAAAAAATGTGCACTCTGGAGTTTCTGCCTAAATGAAATACCAAATATTATCTACAAACACTAACAGGATTTCCTCAGCTGAAGGGCAGCTAAGATTCTTTTCTTAATTTTCCCCTGATGAAATCTAAAAGGGGAATTATTCAGGAATTATTTTGGACTGAGAGGCTGACCAATTAAAAACGTACATAGGGGAATGAAATAAGACAAAGAAATTATAAAAAACACATGAAATGCAGAAAACCAGGCTACTTCATCCATGTAATAATGAATGGAAAGTATAGATTATTACAACAGATCATTCAAGTCAAAATAAAAGGGAAAGGACATGCAGGAAGGAGAAGAACTGACTTAAAAACCTTAGAGACCGACTTGGTGCAGAACAAAATAACTGTTCAGAACTGCCACATCTAATGTCAGAATAGTCTTTGATATGTCCAGCCCCCAGTAGGAGAAGAAGAAATAGTGACCAGTTAATTATAACTATCATTTCCTTGGGCCCACAGTGAGCTCTAGAAATGACAAAAGGAAAATAAAGATTAGGAAAAGAATAAAGATGTATACAAAAACTAGCTTTTAAAACTGTGCTTTATGACAGGGAGGATAATCAAAAGCCTAAGGTGTGGAGAAAGGAAATGCATCAGAAATACACAGAGTTGGATTTGGATGTATTTATACTTAAAAGCAAAGGAAATCAATGATCCTTTAAAATATAAGTTTCACTGACTGTGATTAAGTGTGAATAAGTATGAGTAAATCTGCAATGAATACATTGGCAGGTTCACATTATAAATTAACACAGCTTATTAGGTTTTTTTTTTTACTTAACACACTAAGAAACAAATAAGCTTTTTACCTCCCCATCCACAAACAGCCCTTTTTCTCCAAGAAGACTTCAATACACCTGAGTTTCTGTCTAAAAGCAGAAAATGATAGTTTTCTAGAATGAGTCAGGGCTAAGATCAATCTGTTCCCTCCCTCTAATTTTCAGCTTCGCCGCTCTGCCTTTTGCATGCACAACCAGCCCCTCTGTGACTCTGCCCCCTCCATGCAGGATTCATCATGACTGGAACCAAAGGGGCTGGAAACAATCACTGTGGGTATGCGGAAGAGGAATGTTGCACAGAAGGGGTGGAGTCATGCACGCTAGTGCAGCCACACACCTTAGAGGGAACCTTGGCTAGCATGTATACTACAGTTGGAAGTCGCTAATATTATATAAATTCCATTCTTCAAAAAACCTCTTGTTTATGAATGTGGGATATCGTTCTTCTGTACCCATGATTCAAAATGCCAGGGGGTGGCACGATATTGCTGCACAATGTCATGCCTGCATTGCCAGCAGGAAAAAGGATGCCAAGTTTTACATAGCAAAGGGTGGCCTGAATGTTGAATAACACCAGTGTTCTACAGGATACCCTCTTGTGCTCACTATCATTCACACTTGTCCAAAACAGCCTTGACAAATGCTTTGTGTTTTGGTGAGAAATGGTTAACTGATGAAAAAAGAAGTCAGCTTCTAGGACTGACCCTTGCTTGATGTCACTTCATGAATGGCAATGATCACAAGTGTATGCTCCTGCAGGCAGACCTATTCTATGCATTCTCTGTATAACAGTTTTCCCGATTTGAAAGGCCTTTTTTGCCAATCAATATTTCAGTCACTGCACGTTGGCTTCTTTACAAATGAAATGCAGAAAAACTCTGAATATGCCTTACATCAGACCTGGGCAAAGTGCGGCCTGAGGGCCACATACGGCTTGCGAGCTGCTCCTGTCTGGCCCACGGACAGTTTTGAACATCAAAACCATTTATAGCTCTTTGTCTAAAGTCAATCAGTTGCTTATCTTTAACATACCGCAAAAAACCTCTTTAGTATTTGTGAAGATTAACAAGTTTAAAATAAAGACAATCATAACATCACTGTTTCATTTTATTTTTAAGTAAAGCTGGTTCGGCCCGCAAACACAGTTCAAATTTTTCATGTGCCCCCCCCCCATAGAAATTAATTGCACACTCCTGCCTTACATATTCCTAGCTAATTCCTTAGAGATACATGAAAAATGTCCTTTTCTGGAGCACTGTCATTTCAACATGTTATTTAAAGCAATCCTGGGGTTTTTTGTTTTTTGTGACTGCAAAGAAAACTCTGCCTTTTGATTCTTTCCTTGCCCTGCCATTGCTCTCCAAACATCTCCCTTCCCAGTTCATGAAGCTGCAACAATGTATCTACTATGGAACATTCTAACTTGTAAGCCTGTTCCACACATGCTAAGTGATTGTTTTACTCTTTTGAAAGGGTCAATATTCCCTTTTTTGAGGCTCAATATATATTTCAGCCACTGCAGCCTGGATTACTTCCAAATGAAAAAAGTGAGTGGGTCAGGAGGTCAACCATTCTCTTTCAAGATAAGCAAGATCCCCCCCCCCAAGATTTACTTGATCTGTTTTAAATCTAGGGAATCTTTAAACATTGCTTGTTTCTGCCTTTGGGGTGTGGGTATAAAACAGTTTTACTTTTTAAAAAATCATAACTCAAAAACGCTTTGCCCAAACATCCACAAAGTTGGCTCAGAGCAAGAACAGACTGTCTGCTACATCTGTGCCAAACTTGATGCTGAACCAAAGCCTAGTTTCATTTTTTTTTTAATTTGGGGTGCCCCCATTTTTAGAATTGCCTTGTAGATGATTTGATCTGCCACCACAATGACATCACTACACTCTACTGCAGTGATAATATTGATGACATCTAAAAATATTCATTGACTGTGTTTTTTCCACTTACATCAGAGGGCGGTGGGGAGCTTTCCCTAAAGACTTTAGCCTAACTGCCACATGGAACAGGTTGGTGAATATTTGGTTTGGCCTTCCCTTATCATGAAATACGTATTTTATAGTACACAGGCTTGTGCTAAAAAGAATGTCATAGAGATTCTTTGTAGCAGTAAGATTAGAGCCTGAAAACTGGCCAAGTGAGCCAAGAAATTATGGGAAATGCAAACCCCAAAGTAACTCTTCCAGGTTCCTAGTTCGATGTGTAACATAAGGCACTGGAAGCTAACCATGGTCCCTTCCTAACTAGTACAGACCCTGGCAAAATTTGTTGTTTGTGCTTATTTAACTCTCTTTATGAGATTATTTGAGGTATCCCCGTGCCCTTAACACAAACTGATGCCTATTATGTGTATGTTCTTTTTCTTTCAAAACTGGGCACTCTCTTTTTAATTTATTTAAGATGGCTCCCTGTTTATATTTGAAACTTCTACTCTAATTTCTACACTATCCTGACAGAGTGAATGCAGACATGGGGACAGAAATACAATAGGGAGCGACAAAAGATTCAGGCCTGCACCTGTGCAGAGAATTAAAAAAAAAACACGCTGAAGAAAAAAAAAGCCACCTAGAGTGGTCAATATGATCAGATAGGCGGCAACTCTAGCTGGGATTACCTTTTGGATTTATGTCTGCTGCTCCAACTACAAAGTTGTTTATTTGTGAGATAAGGGGAGTCACTTTAAGAAAGAAAGAAAGAAAGAAAGAAAGAAAGAAAGAAAGAAAGAAAGAAAGAAAGAAAGAAAGAAAGAAAGAAAGAGTTAGAAAGAGGCAGGGGTCGCAAGGGGTTGTTCAGACATCTCTAGGCAGGGGTTAACAAAGACTTGTTCACAAGAGACCCAAATCCTGTTGCCTAATGTAAAAACACCACTAGAGCAGGCCCATTAAATCAATGGGGTTTTGGTGAATCAACTTCTGTGTAGGTTCAATGAATTCAAATGGGCCTACCCTAACTATGACTTTTTAAGGAGAAAGGCAGGGGAGAAATATTTTGAGTAAAATAAATAAATAAACAAACAAACAAATAATAACTATGCCAGGATAAATCGCAGTTTGGGAAGGTACATTTGAATTACTGAAACTTACAGAGTAGTTGATTCACCAGTTCCCCATTGATTCAATGGTCCTTCTCTACAGTGATTACTACACAAAGAAACAGGATTCTGGGCACTACTTTCAAAGTCTGATATGCAGTCCATCAAATTATTTTTAATATAGTAAATTTAGACTTTTTCTGTGGTGATATGGCATTCTTGAAATAATAAAAATGGAATGCTGATTCCGATTTTTAATTCCCAGGTCTATTACATAGTGGCTTCTCAGTGCATTTTTGCCAAAAACATAAATTTTTAAAATGGAATCTTACAAAATCTGGAGGAAGTAAAATATGTTTATGACACTTTGAATGCCACATAAATAAAAACATTAATCTATCCTTACTTAACAGTTTGCAGTCTGTGATCATACTTCATTCTTTCTTTTCCCCTTCATGATGCCCAACTCAACTATATTTTGGAGGAGATACTGGAAAGGCAAAAATATAAAATTAAACTCACTAGACCCCAGTAAGAACCTTACCTGGCTTTTTGTTGCTGCAACCTTAGCAAATAGTGCTTGAGAAACTTTAGCTCTCTTCATTTCCTGCTGAATCTCATCATAAATGGAAGCATTAATGTTCATAGTATTGTTTTCTGGTTTTCCATTCCTTTCTGTTGCAATAGCAGTTGTTTTTACCTAGAAAATACAATACATGTCATAAGCAAAGAGAAAATATTCCCAGACAAAAAGTGCTCCATTTCTTAGCACGCACCGTAGTATTAAATGCTCTTAATTAAAAATGTTCCATTATATTTTTGGAAAGAGAAGGGGCACATGATATAAATTAAGATAAAAAATACTGATGATATATAAATGTATATTCCCAATGGTAGAGGGTTATACTGTATATCTGAGTTGTGATTCAATTTGTCATTTATGTTTTTGTTATATTAAAAAAATAAAAAGGGAAATATTCCTTGAAATTATGAGGGCTTACTTTCAAGTAAAGACAGAAATCACAAATTTTGCACATAATTAAATTTATATTGCGAACTCCATTTAAAAGCCTACATTCAATTGTTAAAAAAAACACACAAGCAAGAAGATTACTTTCTTTCTCTCTCTCTGGCTGCCATTTCAGTTCCTAAGATTGGTTACCCTCATGGCATATCTCTATCTCTTGCTGTGGAAGCAGAGGTTCTTTTTGAAGGTCCAGCCAGTCTTGATGTTATTCATCCAAGAAATCTATCCTCCACCTCTAGGTTTATCCTTGATACTCCCTTCAATGATGTATTGGACTCCAATGCAGTTAAGCAATGAAACTTATATAAATATTGACATGAATTTTCCATTGATGTAATGGATCCACTCTTTTTAGAATGAACAATTACATTTAGACCTTACAGATAATTTGCTGTGTAATGTTCCTCTAACTCAGATGTTAAGTCATACTGGCTGAAATCTTGTTGCCAAGTGTAGTAAATCACACTAGAATAGGCCCATCAATTCATTGAGGATTTGGTGAATCCATTAAATTCTATTTATTCTATGAACCTACTCTAGTGCAACCGAGTATGCTAAGCAAAAGGATTTCAGCCACTTAGTTAAATCTCAAAGAAGTGCATGGGATTTAAAACAAATATAAAATTTACTTCTTTACAATTAATAAAAATCTGTCACTCCAACATGTAAGATTCATTAAAAAATGAAGGTGCAGATAACATTATGGTCCCTCTTTCTTGGCCTTAGCTGTTCTATTTTCAGTACAGAAATGTATCAATGTTTCTACAAGAAGGTAACACACACTGAGTATTTAAAAGGTCAAGATAAAGACTAAGTATGACTTATCTGTCTTTCAGTCCTGCCTCATTTTATATGAGAGCTAGTGTGTGCAATGACTGCACTGTGTAGTGATCAATAGCTCAAAATTCAAATCCACAATGCTAACCAGGTGTTCTTGGGTGAGTCACAATATCTCAGGTGAGCCTTGTCCATTGGTGAGAGGTAAAAAAATGGCCAGAATATGCATGACTTTTTGAGAGAAGGTCAGGATAGGAAAATAAGGAATAAAATTATGTTTGTTCCAATGTTAACAAATAGTGCCCAAGCGCTCTGGATTTTACTAGATAGAATATAGTAGAAGTGTCTATTAAGTTCATTAAGTGTTTTCCCTTTCCTTGAAGTGCTTCTTCCCACTCCCCGAAACAACATTAAAGAGAATAGGGTAGCACACTAAATAATCTTGCACATCTCTCTTCAAAACATGCTCCTCCCTATTCCATTCATCCTATAACTATTCCAGAGAAACAGAGATTTACTTTTTCCTTATGATTTAGGATCTGAAAATGTAACTGATTCTATTTATTAGGTGCAGAGTATATTTATTACTCTCATTGGCCAGAAGAATAACTACTAGTAGTACTACTATTCTTTTTACTGAACAAGACAAAGTCAAATAATTTAAGATGCACATGTATTTTTGCCCTTGGTGTAGTTGGTGAATAACTCAGTCTTCCTCCCAACATTTCATACATTTTTTAAAATACTTTATTACCGTCAAAGACCAGTAAAAACAAATTAATATAAAATAGATACATATAATTACAATTTTGTAAGCTCATTGACTTGAGTCAATGAAGTCCTTAATTTTTTTTAACTTTCAGAGCTAGGTGACATAATCAATGACAAAGGAAATACATATGATTACAGTGTCATGTGTTACCAAGGCAATGGAGGGAAACCTCCATTAGATTTCCTTTCAAAAGTTACTACATTACTAATAATTAGAACTCAATCTTAGTTATATTTTGTAATTGTAATTTTATGTACACTATTTAAATGTTTCAATGTTTCAAGGTTTACTTTATTTTACTTTTTACAAGCTATCTTGTTTCAGATAACTTTCAAGTGGTTTTAATTTGAATCAATAAAAAACAACATGAGCTATAATTTATAATAAAACTGCTAGCTCTCTGGTGGCTTGATTATACATCTGCTATAGATCGCTACAAGCTAGTAACTGCACCGAATGTGTATACATTGATGTACATCTTGAGTCACTAAAAGAAATATTTTTCTGGGGACTTCTCTGAACTAGAGAAAGGAATAATTTAATATCTATAATAAAAAGTGGAGCAGATTACATGGACTAAATTAGAGAAACTATGAAAAAGAACAAATACATTAATGTTTGCATATGAACACACATAAACATATTCATACGTACATGATGGCATGTAATACTACACACACAAACACACACACAGAGAGAGTATCGATACATAAATATCTTTGTTGACCAGAAGTAAACTGATCATTAAAATACCTTGTCCAAAAACCACCAAAGGCAAGGTCTTTCGCTGCTTGTAATGAACTGTAATAATCATAGAGCTCTTTTTTTTTAAAGAGTTGAAGCCATATTATGTTTAGGACCAATCATCAATAAGGTTGATGAACTTGGGTTATAGGTCACTTGAGAAACTTTTCCCTTGTAACTCTTGCATAAGAGATTAAGTGGGAAAATATTTTCCTTCCTTCCTAACAGTTTGTCTTCAGCTATTAAGAATACCATGGATGATTAGTCTGCTGTGCTCTAGTGAACATCACATTATATATTGTTAATTAACCTTCCAGAGCCTATCTATAAAGGTTTTTTTTCATTGAAAGTATCAGTCTTAATTTAGTGTGATACTTTACCTTTTTTTAAAAAAAGGTTTCATAATACATGCATTAGATTTCCTGAAAGGATAAGTATGGATGGATCTTTGTTATCACAGCACATAAAACTGTCAAAAATATTAAAACTATGTACCACCAAAACCTGTGACAAAAGCTGTTTTCTATATAGCACCATCAATACATATAGGGTACTTGGCAAAATATGAAACAAATGCCTAGAAAACTCTTATATCTAAATAGTAAGTAAAAATAGTTATTTTTACTTATTTATATTTGCATTTTTATTTTCTCTGAAAAAAAGAGCAGGGCAAAAAAGACTATGTATTAAATGATGGATAGTCATCATTTAATACATAGTCTCTTTTGCCCTGCTCCCTTTTTCAGAGAAAGTAATAATGTAAATATAAACAAGTAAAAGCAACTATTTTTGTTACTTGTGATGGTGGTAAAACTTTGCTAACATTTCTGTGAAACTCTCATAAGCTTCTGGTATCATCAGTCTAAGAAAAGATAATTTCCATTCCAAGGAGTTATTTAAATAAGTTTATAAAACACACCTCTCTGAGGAAATCTGCACTTATACTTCCTCAGGGCTGATTATAAAAATAGGACATTCTGGAACCATTCATATTTTCCAAATAGAACACAAACTGATGAAAACCCAAACAAGGAAATGAACAGACTTTCACGAATATGAAGGATTACATTATTTTTCTCAGATGAAACAAAACAAAAAAAACCTTGTATAAATGTATTCCCATAAGTATTGTTTTAGTTCAGGAACAAAAATCTTTTTAATCCTGGTTTAGCTTTTAATATTACATCGCACATTAAAATTCGTAAAGTAGTTCATTCCAGGCAAAACAAACTACTTTTCAATACTGTTCTTCAAATAGTGTGAGAGGTATAATGAACTCAGTTGCTTTCAGAACAGCTTTTTATCAGGATAAAGTTTACTACTCCATTATTACAGTGGCGCCTGGAAGCACAGTTATATTTAAATGTTAGTGTTTCTATTGTCCTTTCCATGGTGATTTCTCAAGAACAGAAGGCTGTATTTTGGACAGTTCAAATATGTTATTAAATAACGGTACAAAGATTGTCAATTACGACTATTTTCTGTATAATGAATGACAGTTTAGATTTCAAAGGCACTGAAACAATCTGATTTAAATGTTAAGTATACAGAAGGATATTTTCTGAAATTAAAAAGTCATTTTCACCTTGACTACCGGGATCTGAGAAGAAAACTTAGTTCGATACACTTTGGCTCCAAATTTTCAGCAATGTTCATTTTTCACAAAATGGGGACATGTGTTTATTTCCAACCATGTCAATCATTAAAAGACAAATCCCCAATTTGTCGATCTTGATTGCCCTTTCAGAAATATGCCTTCCCATCAAACATTACTACATTTCTTGAAGTACAAGACTCTAATATTTGTATCTCTCCCACTAACTTGCCTGATATATTGTGCAATGAATGTACTGTATCTTGGAACTTCATCCGTAAACTAGTAAATTTTTAAAAGGGAAAGTCAATTCCCAGAAATGCAACAAAACAGTTTAAACAACACACAACACAAAAGGAGGAGATAGTGAAATGAAGGGCAGTACTCAGTAAATTCTTTGTTCTTATTTAGACTGTTTTGACTTAAGAAGATGCCTTCACAAGGAATTTTAAAGCTTTATCAAGATTTCTTACCTCCAGCCAAGGATAAGACTGGAGACCCGTCTCCCACCCTGTGAAGTTTCTGTAATGTGTGGAAAGCATTTCAAGTGTCTTTCCCTTTGAGAAGTGAAGTGCACACATAAGAGCAAGCACAGAAGGGCTGCCTGACTGTTATAAAAAAGATGCAAATAACTCATGTAATGCATTAAATTCTCAAACCAAGCAGCCCAAACTGAATTCAGAAAATGGCCAATTCTGCAGGAAAGGGAGTCAATTCTGCACAGATCATGCAAGAAATCAGAAGTACAAAAATTTCCTCACCATCTTCACTGGTGAGAAGAATGCTGTAGTTTCTTGTTCCCACATATGAGATTGAAGAAAGGATTTACATTCCTATTGCACATAAGATTAAAAAAAAAACAGAGCTAATACAACCTAAGTCCTTATAATAAATCTGGCCATTCCTATAGACTCCTAGCTTCATTTTTAAAATAATAATAAATACAAATCTCTGATATTTCACAGCTTGCAGAATGTTGAAACTACAAAATGCGACTGTATTTCCTATCCTCATTATAGTATTTAGATGAAATATTCTGCAGCATGTTTTTTTTTCCACACACATCAATAATTTTTACACACACAAAAAGCAGATCAGAAAAATTTAAAAGATGGTTTACTTGTGAAGGTCGGCTGGGGGGTGTGCTTATAAGGGGTGTGGGGCCCATAGCAGACGCTGCATTCAAACTCCGTTCTCTTTCGTCCTGGTATATTCGATCTCTTTCTGCTTCTGGCAGCTGCAAGAAATTCTGCATCGCCCGAAGGTTTACCAGTAAAGACTGTGAGGCGGTCTTGGGGTCCTCTTCCTTTCGCAGGATTTCTGACAGCAAGCCCTGTACAGGAAAAAATTGCACAAATACACAAAGCCATATTATATTACACAGTTTTATACAGATACGGCTGATCATGTTTTTTCCCCCTAACTTTAGAAAACATACAGTAAAAACGCATTCATCCTGCATAGGAACATATTACTGACAATTTAGGTAGTGCACAGGAGAGCCTCAATTGTATTCTTAATTTTATTAAGCGTCTGCTTTATGCACAATACAAACTGAATCTGCTTAATTGGTTTGTTTTTTCTGACTTAACTTGCCATGAAATCTTTCTAATGCAGACAAGAATAAATAAAATCCAAGTATCCAGCATTATTACATTACTGTTATTCAAAGCCTACAATAAAATATATATTCAACTTATGTAGACAGAAAGCTATTTCTGAAAATGTGGGACTACTTTACAACCTTTGAATGTTATATAGCGTAAAGCATTTACAAGTAAAACATAAGAGGCCAATTGACAAGTAGATGGTAATTTTGAAAACAGTATTTGCACCTCTCTCCCGCTAATATTTGAAAAATAATCTGAACAGGTAATCATTGGAGAATATAGCTTGATTGGTTAAATTAAATATTTATCATGTGTCGACACTTCTCCTTTTCCACTTTCCAAATAACTTAAAAAATTAGTATGTCTCTCTCCCTCATGCACTCATGCTTGCAGAAAATTATTAAATAAAATCCAAGATTCCCAACTGACCCACAGACATGATTGTTTAGCTATTTATTTATGCATTTATATAGTTAAGATTCAAAGGAAAGATAGTTCTGAATTGCCACCCATGTGCTAATAACCCTTAGACAATCAGTTAAATTGGGGGGGAGAGACACTAGAAATCAAAGATTGTGTTGTTTAGGAGGCATATAGGAGAGCTTTGTGTTTTCTACTAAACCAGTCCATTCCTGGACTCACTGACAACAAATGGATAGCACAGATTTCTGGACATTTAACATTTCATCTCACAATAGCTTATGATTCCACAGGCAAGCTGTTACATGATTTTACACTCAGAATCTATCTCATCACTGTTATTTGAAGTTCAGAAAGGACTATTTCTTCTGGCCAATGATCCTCTATTTTTAACCACTCCAGGCAGCATATGACTTGCTCACTTGACATGGACTGACATTGTGTTTTGATCCTCAGGAAATCCTGAGAAGTTGCACCAACACTTGCTAATGCTACATATATACACTCGATGGGTTGAGATTGTTGTCTCTGCAACATAAGTGATGAATTTAGGTTTTGCTTCTCTCCGCGACTATATCTGAAAGAGTAACTAAGGCTAAATACACCGCATTTTTCCGTGTATAAGATGCCCCCATGTATAAAACACCCCACACTTTTCTAAATTAAAATTTATTTCTTTGCAAGAAAGTGGAGGGGGGAAAGCAGGAGCTTTTCCCCCTCCATTTTCTTTGCAAAATGTGGAGGGGGTGGGAACAAGGATCAAAGCACTTTGATCCCTCCTCCCTCCTTACTTCCGAGTATAAAATGACCCTCAATTTTTCCTTCAATTATCTTAGGAAAAAGTGCCATTTTATAAACAGAAAAATACGGTATTTCCTGTTTAACAAGGTGGAAATCACAGTTACCCTGTTTCCCGGAAAATAAGACAGGGATTTATATTAATTTTTGCTCCAAAAACACATTAGAGCTTATTTTTAGGGGATGGTTTTTTTTTTCATGTACAACAATCTAAATTTATTCAAATACAGTCATGTTGTCTTCTTCTGGTTGCTGCACAGTGGTGGAGGGCACTTAACTGGGGCTTATTTTGGGGGTAGGGTTTATATTATGAGCATCCTGAAAAATCATAGTAGGGCTTATTTTCAGGTTAGGTCTTATTTTAGGGGAAACAGGGTAAGAAAAAGCAGACAACCAGGAATGAGTAACGTAACAATAGAAGTAGAACAACAGTTTGAGGTCTCGGAGTTTAATAACGCATTAGGAAATGGTGGACATCTAAATTTGTTGATCTACAACAATCATCATATTTGACCAGTACTTCTACTGGCTGAGATTGTCATGCAACAAACAGTACTGGAAGGACATGGATTCCTAAACCTTAAATCTGACTCTAGAACCAAATACATTCACTCACAACTGAAATAAAAGAGCAATTTCAGAGTAGTACTTATAGTGTACAGTGGTGCTTCGCTTTACGATTGCCCCGTTTAACGATGAAACCGCATTATGATGAACTTTTTGCAATCGCTTTTGCAATTGCAAAACGATGTTTCCTATGGGGGAATTTTGCTTTGCGATGTTCGGTTCCCTGCTTCGGGAACCGATTCTTTGCAAAACGACGATTTTCCAACAGCTGATTGGTGGTTTCAAAATGGCCGCTGGGTAAACAAAATGGCCCCCGCTGTTTTCTGGGATGGATTCCTCACTGCACAGGCAGCGAAAATAGCCGCCCTATGGAGGATCTTCACTGGACGGTGAGTTTACAGCCCTTTGGAATGCATTAAATGGGTTTTAATGCGTTTCAATGGTTTTTTTCTTTTCACATTACATTTTCATTCTACAGCGATTTCGCCGGAACGAATTAATGTCGTAACGCAAGCCACCACTGTACTTATTTTTAAACTGATTCTTAATAAAGTTTTATCTTTTGGTGTAAGGTTCTCAGTATTTACAAAATCATAAAATACAGCAGTACATATACAATATTACATCCTTCCTGCATTTCCAAAATATCTGACAGGTGAAACATGATTTTATCTTGAAATGACAGAATCATATTTCATTGTTGTACTCAAATGATTGACTTCTAGGATGTAAGAATTTGTTGTACTTCTATTTTAATTAATAAACAATGTTGGCTGAAATCCTTCTGCTAAGCTCTGTGTGCACAACAAGAATCATGGGAGCAGCAGCAGCAAAGCATTGTTTAGACTTTCTTTGGTGATTTTAGAGCACAGACTGTGAACAATTCATGTGTATCTCAAAATCACCAAAGGAAGACTTTAATCAGCAGCAATTTGCAGCTGCTAATTATGTCATTCCTTATGCATATGCAGAAAAGGAGTCCCATTGAGTTTAATGGTTCTCAGGAGAGTGGATACTGGATTCCATACTAGATTATCTTTTGTTCTAGATATTTTTCCTCTATATCCTCACTTGCGTTCAAGATGATCAAAGCTGTGTGGTTATCTTTACTTTTTTTTTTAAAAAAATCATCGAACTATCCCCTGGCCTGAGTTTAATGGTTGAGCAAGACATGACTCCCAGTCTTCCCCAGAAAACTGTTAACGCTAATATTCTACTCACTATAGCACATATTCCAAGCATGATTCTACTAAAACACACAACCCAGTTCTTACCATGATTCCTGAGAAGTTTATCCCAGTCATTTCAATGACACTGATGAAACCTAAATGTGCTTAGGATTGCTGCCTTAAACAGATATCCACAGGATATTAGCTCAATATTATATTTTTACCTGCATACAATACTCACCAGTTCTGATTAGGAAAGGTATGAATTTAGCATAATATGCTTTTGGGAGAGATTAATATCCATGATTAAGTATAATTCCAACCTATTATTACGCATTTAGAAAGAGATGGCACTGTGGTTTACTGATCATGTTTACATCTTTGAAGATTTGTAAATGGTAGTGTTGTGCACTATCACACAGTGCTTGTGGTTGACTGATCTATTTAATGGATGGTGCAGAAGCAGAAACTTCTATAGTAATCCAGGTTTGTCTCTGAACCACACTCACCTCTCAAAAAACTCAATAATGCCAACTTCAGCTAAGAGATGTTTGGATGCATCTCTGTGTAAGCTACTGCTGTAGCCAAGGCCAGAGCTTGAAAACACTTGTATTAACATTAAATTAAAAATTAATTAATCTATGTTAATGGTTTTAGTAAGACATTACTGTATTTCTTCTTTTTAAAAACCAATAAAAATTTAGTAATGGCAAGACTCCAATCACCCCTGGACAATAAATTTAACTTTTAAAATCTTGGGCCAGTATTGTTCTGTTAGCTTCAAATAGCAGATCCACTCGCAAAATGGTACTTACATGGTTGTTGACATACTATGGTTGTTGGCATACCATAAATTTATTTAATGGCTGAAATCCTATTGCTTAGCATAAGAAATCATGTAACATTCAGTCCAGTTCTAGCTAACAAAGAAAAAGACTTTGCCATGATACTTGGGAGCACATGTGCATGTAACAATCCTCTCTCTCTCTCTCTCTCTCTCTCTCTCTCTCTGTGTGTGTGTGTGTGTGTGGTGCGTGCGTGCGTGCATGCTCGCTCTAGAACTGTAGCAGGGACTTTTGCTGGCTAGGAACACATTAAATGTGATGAATTTTCTTACACTAAGCAACAGGATTACAGCCAGTGGATCTAAACTCTAATTAGGATTAGTACTAAAATCTGGGCCATTTTTTAAACACATTTTAGATAACAAAACTATTTTAATTTATTTCCAGGCTTTGGTCATGTCTCTTGAATGGGAAGAGACCTGAAGCAAACACATATTAGTTACCTGTCTGCGTGGGGAGCGTCAATATACACTTTAGGTTGCAGGTGCCAATGGAATTGGTTGCAATGAGGTTGAGGAAAGATCCTCCTGTATCTAGTCTGTTCTTGTTTAAGTACATAAAGAATTTAATTCTTGCTGAAGAACGCCTCAAGCATAATTATTAGAATGTTAGAGCAAAGTTTGATACTGATTTCATCCACAATATAATCTGGTTGATGAGCATCTGAATCTGGTTGATTCTAGCATGAACCAGGAGAAACTGTCTAAAGAAAGACAAAACTGGTTGGTATTATGTAGATTTATTTATGTCCTCTAATCTAAAGCCTCACAATGTATAAGCAAGTGCTTTCTATAAGACCTAAGGATTTATAATCTAACCTGTATACCCCAGTTTGGAAACCATTGCACTGATAGTTTTCTCAAATAATATTGTATGTTCTCCTGTAAAATCTTCAGGTAAGCAAATAAATAAAAACTCTCTCTG